TCACTGAGCAGACGAGCCTCGCGAACGTCCCGACCAATCAGAGCACACTGGGCTCACAGGGGGGGGGGCAGGAGCTCCAACAAGCCGTTTAGGACAGAGAGTGAATACACATACTATACAGAGATGCTGTATGAGAAACCAATGTGAGTTTTTGAACAGTATAAATCTATTTTTAGACCAAGGGGTAGACCTAGGACCAGGGATTATATCTCTTCGCTGGCCTGGGAGCGCCTTGGGATCCCCCAGTCAGAGCTGGTTGATGTGGCCAGGGAAAGGAAAGTTTGGGGCTCTCTGCTGGAACTGCTACCCCCCGCGACCCGACCACGGATAAGCGGGAGAAGATGGATGGATGGATGGATAAATCTATTTTAGTATACCTCAACAATGGAATTATGATCAGTAGAAATGGCCATGGGACCTTTAAAGTAACAAAAGTAAAAGTACTCATTCTGCAGATTGGCCCATTTCAGAATAATATATATGATATGTTTTATATCTATTGATGCATTAAAGTGTTAATTTGACTGATGTAAGGGTTGATTATATTTCACATCATTCATCCAAATCTGCAAATTTAATACATGTATTAAATGAATGCAGTGGAGTAAAAGTACAAAGTAGCATAAAATAGAAATACTCAAGTAAAGCACAAGTGCCTCAAAATGTTACTTAAGTACAGTACTTGAGTAAATGTACTTAGTTACTTCCCACCTCTGTCAAATTCAAATACAAAACATGGTTTTATCCAACAAAATATTCAGCTTAAATTGCCATTTGTTAGGGTTTAGCCTTTCAAAAAAAATATTTTCTGTTTAATCTAAACCTTTTGCTCTCCCGCCCCAATTATGGTTCCCAACTGTATTGACGAAGGGTTTAGCAGCAAAATGGCAAAACTGACAAAGGTTGCGATGTTCGAATCAGGGTTATTTTCCTGACCCTCTAATATCGAGTCTCAGTTAGACTTCTGAAATATCTCGCTCTCTTGTAGTTGCAGCGTTTTCAGAAAAAACACATCCCATGTTCGCGGCTTATCTCCTCATCACCCAAACACATGAAATATTTTCTCCAATATCCACAAGATGTTTGGTGAAACTTTCTCACCAAAAAACACAGCCAGCATCGCCCTTACGATCTTTAGTCTTTAAAATGTTCAGATTTGAGACCTCAGTGTTTGTATAAAAAGACAGATGAGAGTAGAAGTAGAAACCATTGTGTTTAGTTATCAACACCCTTGTCCTGAGTAATTGTCACCACCCCCCCTCACTCCTTCCTTTTGTCCTCTCTGTCGTTCTCTCTCCAGATGTTTCCTGTCTTCAGCAGACTGTGTGGACCACGGTTGGGGGGGTCCTTGGTTTCTCTGCATGTGACAGAGCTGTGCTTCACACTGTTTGTAAACCATTTGAACACTGTCTAAACACTCCTCAGCCTCCCTTCCATCCCACGCACATCAGGGAGCAAAACAACACCAGCAAGCGACCCCCCATAGCCCCCCGCCTCCCTCTGCTCCGAGGTCCGGGAGGGGAGACAACAGGGGGACTTGTTGATGATACATGTCAGTATAAATAGATCCTCTGATGCACACCGGCTGAACCTCCTCAACAACTATTCTCCTCATGTCAGCAAGTTCTCAAAGGCGGTAAATAAACGCTTGGTGTTCATTCATCAACTGTGAGAGACGTCCTCATTGTGCAAAAAATAATTAACGACTTATTTAAATCAACACTTTGTGACAATCACAGTATGATGTTAAATGAGCAAATGTGATGTTACAGTAGAAATACAAAAGTAGAAAAACATTCACAATGTCAGCAGACTGTTTTACAGCAATATCTACCCGTAGTTTGCATAAGCTAACATTAGCCACCATAAGCTCAAGTCACCGTGACGTCCCTCATTGGTTTGTGGACTGCGGGTTAAAGCTTTCGACTTTGACACTTTTTTAGGAAATGATATACTGAAGTAAAAACATCAAGTGAGAGTTGGTAGGGTGACCAGGTCCATTCAAATTGAATGTTTTTAAGCTCTTTACTTCATAGTTTGTGCAAACAAGGTAATTCATATTTATAGGCTATAGTTTCAATAGACATTTTCATTTTTTAGGGTTAGATGAAGGTCATATTGTACTACTTTACGTTACCATCGCAGTAGCATGTCCGTCATTGTCCCACACAAACACACTCTTTGTCCCACATGTGTTTATTGTCACCTGATCACCCTACAACTTGGTCATTTTCTCATAGACTTCTATTCAATTGGACTTTTTCTTCCAACCGGTTGACCTGCCCCTGTTGAAATATAGATAGAAGGCAGCTTTTATGCACCCCAAATGTTTCACTTCTCATCTGGAGGTTGGCCCCTAGTCATACAAGAACAAGATGAAGCAGTGAAACCCTGAGTGTAATGATTTAATTAATGGATTTGCCTATGAGCTCAATCTTTCATTTCTGAGAAGAAGAATGGAAATGTGCATCGTTCAAATTTTACATCGTGGGACTATAAGTCAATATCGGACGCAAATCAACCAACACGTGTTTAAAAAAAAGTTTTTCTGAGATGTAGAATGAATGGCATCTCACCTCTGATACCATAAATTGTAAATGGCCATTAATGTTGTTCAGTAGCATAATATATTTTAACAGTTTAGACTAGGGTCAATTCACTCACAGTTTGTTTGGGAACTACATTCCACTGAAGAAATAGTCCCTAATATACAAACTATGGTCTGTGGAATAACCAGGGGCAAAGAGGCATGGGCACATTACAGATGAGATGTGTTTTTTTAATATAAATATGGTTATAGAACATTTATTTATTCACAGTAAATACCTGAAGAACAAAGAGCTTTTCAACCAAAACTATCTGCAGTTAGAGAGCAAATTACAACAGTATAAAACAGAGGATGCATCTGTTGATAGTGCAGATAAGTCTATAACTACCAATGACACAACTTCATTTGAATTAATTGAACATGGACTGATAACACTGGAAGTATTTTGCATTAAAAATGTCACATTGATAGCACATAACACATTTCGAAACATGACAGCATATCCAGTGTTTCCTGTCTCCAGTGTCAAAACGCCAACAGTCTAACTAAGAGATCCTAATTAGTCCATCTTCAGTGTCTTATCTATTATTGTAAGAGTTTCTATTTCACATACTTTGTTTTAAAAGAGCAGAAAAAATCGGAAGTAGAGGGAGAAGAGAAAGTAAAAGGCAAAATAAAATAAAGTCAGAAGGGAGGGAGAGAAGTGTCACTGAGGACTCACCATAGTACTGGAGCGGCTCTGTGGAGCAGTAACCATCCGAGGCTGAGAGAAAGCCCCCTGCCGAAAAACTCATGTCCAACTCGGTCCACTCTCTCATCTGGACAGAAGATCCTCTCTCCAGCTAGTAATACGGGACCTATCTCCACACACACATGCATGGACACAAACACACAGACAATTACTCTGAGGATTCACACAGATATGAAGGGTCTGGGAGACATTCCTCAATCCCCAAGATGTGTCCAGGTCTCTAAGCTGTCCACACTGATATCCCAGCCTATTTTTTTAAAAAAGCAGAGAGGACGAGTGCAGCTGAGGCTGAGGTCTGGGTGGATGATGTGCTGGAGGAGGTCTTAACCACCCCTCAGGGGGGTAGACGAAAGGGAAAGTAGGGACACCCAGGATGACAGGGATGGGACTTTGGTCCAAACAGCTAAACCTGGCGGAGACTTAAGAGGCTGCAGGGATGCATGGAGGGAGACATCTCCCTCATGGGCAGAGTGTGTGAAGGTTTGGTCTAATTGGATGTATCCGAGAGTGCAACAGCTGGCCTAGGCGAACATTTTGTCAATTTAATCTGATGACACATACAATCATTTACGTCATTAAAACAATTGTTAAAAGTTACAAGTCTTAAAGGTATGGTTTGGATGATTTTATGTATTTTATGAGGTAGGATGAAAGTTGGCATGTCCCCAGTTTGGAAAAACAGACAGGAGCACCAGCGCTGAGCAAAGCAATGTAGCCTACTGCTGTAAAGAGGAGGAGAAGCAGAACATAGTCAGTCACCTGAAATATCAATATCAGTTTAAATGTGCTTTAAACTTTCAATATTTTCACCACTTTACTTTGCCTTAATTCTCTCTTGAAAGCCATCAGACTCCTTAGATAAAACCTAAAACTTCACCTTGCAGAACACGGATGTTGCTGCAATAAGTAAGGTCTGCTAAAATTACTGTTTTTTCAATGAATTCTGTTGGATTTTAAGGGATGGCACACGTAAGGCTTAAGTTCCCTTGCGCCCAGTCAGCAAGGTAAAACATTGAAAATATTTTTAATTGTGTAAACTTGAATTATAATAGATTTGTATAGCTTTTTCAGTGCTCCCTAAAGAACAGTAAATTGCCTAATGTGCTGGTACTCCTGTACTCAAAGGGGCCTTAATTTGCTCATTTTCAGCTTCATATTTGCATTTTACTGTGACATGTTAACATCCTTTAATGTTCAAATGGTCTTTATTTTTCTCATACTGCCTGTGCTGCAGCCACCTTTTTCACCCTCTGTCTGAAACCAGAGCCCACTCTGCTCTGATTGGTTAATTGAGAGGTTCGGTTGTGATTGGTCAACCGCTTTGAGATGTGTTGGAGATGTCCCGCCCCTTAGCCTATCACGTACAGTGTTGAAGCACCAGCCAATATCAGCACGAGTGGTACATAGTGATGTGAATAAATTATGGAAGTAAAGGAGTCCAATGGATACGTTTGGATTAGAGCATTTGCAGACAATTTACACGCAAAAAACCCATATAAAACAATACAGGAGAGTAAAAACACCTTTAATACCTTGGTTGGGATTCATAGCTATCTAATACAACACCACTTTTAAGATATTCTGAACTATCCCATTAATGTGTTTGTGTGGTGTGTGTGTGTGTGTGTGTGTGTGTGTGTGTGTGTGTGTGTGTGTGTGTGTGTGTGTGTGTGTGTGTGTCCATGTTTGTCCTCTAAGCCTACGGGAGTGTGTTTACTCTGCTCTTTTGTTTACCACTGTTCTGTTTGTGCTGCAGTTAATATTGGACAGCATTTAGATTTAAGGGGCTCGGGGACCTCCGCCTCCCCCTCAGACAGTTAACCAGGCCGGGGCAGAGCGAGAAGAGTCGAGGCCTGAACCACCAGAGGAGAGACAGGGGAGAGACCTCTACGCTGTCCTGTAAATCTGTGAGCAGGCCTGTTTGACATGCAGCATGCTTACTGAGGATTAACGGCGTACTCCCACCCTCATATCATGGCTTTCACTGACTCATTATGGGAGCCAGGAACTACTGGGGGAGAGCAGGGGGGGGGGAGAAGGCCCACTGAAACTGCAGCCTTCAATGTAGTAATCACGATCGATCTCAGTGGAATTCGGTTGCTAACTGCACCGTGTCATTCCTCTAAAGATTGTGTCCAAAGGGTAAACTGGCACACATGTGACTACAGTGCTCGACGATCAATAAATTGTTCTGACAGCGAAAAACACAAACTAAGAGAGAGAGAAAGAAGAAAACAAGCTTAAATGTGTCGAAAACAAACTGATTGGATGAATTTAACACACATGGTGACAAATCAAATGTCTAATAACTACATTGATATAATGTTTTAGGATTACATAAAGATAAAGGCAAACAGCATTACAGGAGCAATTCAATGCTTTATTGATGTAACGTTATTATTCTGTTTCTCAGTGTTGTAATTCTACTAGACTACTGATATTGTCTATGTGTAGGCCTACACTGAATACATCACAGCCTTGAGCTGAACATCAACACGGTAGCCAAACTGTCTAACATTAACAAAGTTGACATAGTTTTGTTTAACCATTTCCACCATCTTAGTTAGCACATTAGCATGCTAACATTTTCTAATTAGGACTCAACACAAAGTACAGCTTTAGATCATGGGAATGTAATCATTTCTGCAGGTATTACCATTCATAAATGTAAAAAGTATTGCGTAAATTAAAAATCAGTCCTTGTGATGGCACCAGAGGAAAAGTCAGTTGACCATCAAAGTTATCACAAAAAGGGGGGCATGCATTTGTGCGCCAAATTGAATGGCAATCCACCTTATGTCATCTCTATGGAGGGGCCAGAAGAAAAGTCAGGGGGTCTGTAGGATTAATCCTCTGGGAACCTTGAACATTATAATATGTTGACCAAATCTAATGCAAAGTCATCAAAAGGTTGTTGAGATATTTTTAGGAAACATCAGGGAATCACCGGCGTTGTTAGCAGTGTTAGCATGGCCTTAAAAATGTATAACTACCAATGACTTAACATCAACTCACTTTATTCTAGTTAGAAGTGAACCAGGTTGTTTTTTATTTAAATTATCTGGCATGGAGGAGATTTCTCAATTTGGTTAGTTCTTTGATTTGGATAAAAGGAATGGTAATAGAATATATTTCATCATACTTGTTTGGAGGGTGTAGTATGGACCAGGGAGTAACCCATTACAGTTTGGAGTGGACAATTATGGACACATACAATAACTTTACACTCTCACAAATCTTGATGAATGCAAAAAATGAATTGCTAAAGTAGAGGCTCTTAATTCCCAGTTAATAGCGATGTCGTGTCCCAAAATGTGAGGAGGAGGCACAACAAGCTGACTCCGACCTCTGGGAGTAAAGTGCAGGCAGCAGAGCTGGGAGTGACACTAAACGATGGGGACAATATCTGAGAGTGTGCAAATGTCACCATGGATCTTATTGAGGTGTCACACTGTTGGACACAAGCCTGAAGATGACATGAGGAGTGTCATTAAAAAAAAGAGCAGGAAGTGGAGGGAAATATTTTTAGGGCACGGTTAGTTCAATTAGAGTCTGGCGCTTTGGTTGAATTAGTTTTGTTTCTGTGGAAAAGTTCCTCAACACAAAGACACAATGATGAGGTGAACACCAGAGGAATACAGCAACGTTTCAAACTCTGGAAACTTAAGTAACTTAAACTCATTACTCCTGAATCACTCAGAGAACAAGCCTGAAGATAAATTCAACACATCATAAATCCTGTTTTTTTTCTTCATGAAACCAGCTCCTTTATCAGAGAGCTTCTGGCTGCTAGCTGCAGCTCGATAACGGCCCGGATTGTTTACTGATCCTCGCAGGAAACCAATGCCCACTTTATAAGTGGCCTCTGTGTGTGAGTAAAGTCGATAGCTTATGTCTGAGCGTATGTTAGCGAGTGTGGTGGGGGGTTGGCTATCATGAGTAGGAATGTAAATTGTCATATGGTAGTTGCAACAGACCTAAATGCAGCATGCTCAACTGGCCATCATGAGTAATATCTGTAATGAAATGCATTGCAGATCTATCCTGGCTGGAAATGCATTGAAATGGCAATTGAGCGTTGAAATCAGTACGAAATAGAAAGAAAGAAAGAAATACAAATAACACTTCATTGTGATATTTTATGAACAATTCTGTTTATGTTGCAGTTATTTGGATTGTGGACTCACCGTTGATGATGGAAGCCTTCCTGATGCGCCCGAGCGTCCCGATGTCCTCTCCCTTTTGTCCAACTCTCTCACTTTTTTGTAGTCCAGCCCAGACTCAAACCTCATACACACACAAACACACACACAGAGTAAACAGACAGCTGCTCTTGATGTGTGTTTTAGTTGGACATGTGGGAACCCGACCAAAGATCCTCTTTTTTCTACTTTTAGAAAGAAAAAAAAGTGTCATTGAGAAGGAGAATCATTAACAGACATTGTATGGGCAATAATTGGGAAGACATGAAAAGGTAGGCCAGGGAACAATAGCGTTTTTAGGCTACATGTCCCAACGTACATCAGAATTGAAAATATCAAAAATTCCCCATGACATTTCCCAGGATGAGGCTTATTGGTTGCACTAGGGATTTGAACTGCCAACCTCTGAGACCCCCTCTGCCCTGCTTTTAGGAACTGAAATCATCTCATTAAAAAATTCCCAGTATAGAGTGTTTATAAACAGCTTCTTGTTCATCCCTTGTGATGGATGGATGCTCCCTATCACTGGCTCTTCTGCTGCTAACTCCCCGACCCCCTTCACAATCTCTCTGCCACTGTTTCACAATCCTCCACCCCAAAATACACACACACACACACACACACACACACACACACACACACACACACACACACACACACACACACACACACACACACACACACACACACACACACACACACACACACACACACACACACACACACACACACACACACACACTCAGTGAACCCATGATGTTTTCTGTACTGACCTTGCTTCCTTGGTGGGTGGGCCCTTACTGTTCTGAGTGTGTGTGATTGCATTATGTTTAATAGTAAGGGGAAAGTTTGTGTGTGTGCGTGGGTGTTTTGGGGGAGGAGGGTGCATCTGAAAGGCCGGCGTGAATCTGCTAATGATGAAAAACAACACGGCTGTCAGGGCCTCCCAGGAGCTGCTCGAACTCGGTCACTGAGGGTGGAGGTCAGCAGAGGAAAAGGGTCAAAGGTCAACATCAAGGCCAATGGCAGGCCTTGGCTTCTGCTGGGCTAAACAGAAAGTGGGAAGAGAAAAAACTCTGAATAGTTATTCTCAAGAGAAGCAGTTAGAATAAAATCCATTAATAAAAAAGTAACACTTTTATGAAGACAATCAGGAGAATCTGACCAACTTGTTTTGGGCAACAGCCCAAAACACTTCCTAAGGAGAACCACGCTGCAGGTTGACAAACGATGATATAACCCCAAATCTGCCAAAAAAACATGCAAACCAACTTCACCAACCTTACGAAACATGCACATGGTTAACTGAAAGCGATGCAAATACGAAGCACTGCAATCGCAAAACGCTGCAAATACAAAAAAACTGCAAGAAACTCAAAACACAACGGAAAACGGGGACACTAAAAAGTGATGCACAGCGTGGGTCTACGTTCAGGGATTATAAAATTGGCCAACCGTCGCTGTTGCAGTGTTGGTCTGTTTCATAGTTGTAAGTATTTTGTCTGTAGGCTTTAATTAAAATGACTAGGTTAGCTACGTTAGTTAGCTAGCCTACAGCAGATCTGCATTATTATCAGAAGTAATCACATTATTAAAATAAACCAATAAAACGTACATTTTACGTCCATTCCAGTGACAGTTCCCCAGTAACTTTATAATTCCCGCTCACCAAACCCAGTCCCAGATGTGTGCATCACTATTTAGTGTCCCTGTTATTGTTGTGTTTTGAGCTTCTCCCAGTGTTTCACTTTTAGTAAACGCCGCCCATGTTTCATCAAATTGGTGATTCTTTCTAAATGCTACACATGTGTTCTCAAGTTGGTAGACATGTTTCTTCTTTTGCATGTGTTTTGGCACATTTGTTTTTATATTTGCATGTAAGTGTTTGTTGACCACCTTTCGGCCCGTACAAACGGCTCCCAATATTTACCCAGAATAAAAACAGAGAAAATAATTCAATGTTATTCTTTATTTTTATTTTTACAACACACTGAACATTTTATTAACATTTCTCAAAGTACAAAACCGACTTTTGTTGTGCAAAACTGTGAGAATGATAAAACGAAAATGTGTCAATTAAACATGGTGGTGTTAAGTGACTTATCACCAGTGCAAACTAATCTGGTCAAGTGTCTGTATTTACAAAAAGAAATGTATAACTACAATTAAAAGATATCTAAAATGAACAAAAAAAATACAACTTTTTTTTGCGATTAAAGCACTTGGTGTAAACATCAATTAAAAAATTGACAGAGTACAATTTACACTTGGTCATGCTTTACAAAACATTATTTTACCCTCCGACCCATCACTGCAATGGTGTAAGACTGGGCTTCATGCAGGGCTAGTGTCATAACTGTCAAAGTGTTATGCAGGTTAGAGAAACAAGATACATTTAGAGAAGAATCTGTGTGGTCCGGTCGCCCTGGCTAGGTTTCTACGTAATCTACGTGAATTTAAATTGAGGCTGTGACCGAGAAATTAAAAGAGAAGAAGTTCAAGCTGACAGGAGGAGTTTCCATCCATGTCAAACAAGTGAAGAGCTTCCTCTGTCACAGTACTTTGGCAGATAAAAACACATTGTAAACATTAAAAAAAAGAGCATAATAAATATAACTATAAAATCAAGACTAAAATGTACAATGTTCTTTCATCCTGATTCTGTTGGCAATGTGATTTTGAGGGTTCACTGGAAGAGAGCGTCTGATCATGTCCCACTCTCAGTTTGTCGGCTTAGCTTCCGATCAGAGGCGCGGTCTCTCCGTGACTGCTGCTGACCTCCTCTTTGGCTTTGCGGTAAATCAGGAACTGGAAGGAGATCTGAGCCGCAGCGTTAAGGAAATTAAAAGAAATCCTGGAAGAGATTCTGTTTAATGACACGCACAATGATGAAAAATACAACATACTATTTGAAAAAGTGATTAAATACTTCCCAAACTTGCCAACTTTGTTAGCATTGTTAACATAATGGGACTCCTCTACATATGAATCCACCTAACCAGTGCCTAAAGAAGACATTTCATTACTGGCAGTGAACATGTCGGACACCACTGTATGTGTCAGCTTCTAAATGGGAAACTCTGTTGGCCAGCAGACTTTCACAATGGTTGGCTTTTAGTTTTAAAGCTCTCTTTTCAGCTGGTTGCAGACATACACATATGTGTAAAAATACTAAATCAATATCGCCTTGGTCTCCAAGCTTAGGACAGAAATAGGACTGTCCCCAGTCTCCAAGCTTGGAGAAAAAATATGCTGCCCCTACCTACCAAAGACATTGACATTTTTTGAGATTATTACTATGGGGTTCCATTTGAAAGAAAATGCAAATATAGCACTCTTGGACACTATGACCTACATTTGAAAGTTAATCATTTAAGAAAATTGGACCCATGTTAACAAATTGGGCTGTTTAAACAGGATATGTATATCCACATTCTTTAGCAATAGTTTCAGTGTCTGGTTTATTTCTCCACGTACGCAAGCAACTCTGGCGAAAAAACCCCACTAATAATCCATTGACTGTATACATTACATTTGATAAAAAAATATCTGATCCTGATTCATGCATATCATGCTTGCTAACGCTTTCGATTTTCATTCCCTCTCTTCCTGCAGTCTGGAGTTTCATTCCCCCAGGTAAGACCTTAGAGTCCACCACTTGTGGGGTGCAAAGAGGCAGATGGCCTCCAGAGGGCCCGAGTGCAGCTTTTTGCTTTTCTTGTTTCTTTGCCTTGGCTAATTTCCCCCTGTGTGCTTGGACCTTTGAGACTATATTGTATTCCACAGATACAGTCATGTGACCTAACTCTTCTGATGAAGTGACCTGTCAACCAGCTGAGCACTGACTAAAATGTAGCATGTAATTGAGATTAAGGATAACCTGGAGGCCCTCTTTTCTTGAAAGGATACGATGACGTCTAAGGAGAGGGTGCCGAGGCTGCCGATGAGCCAGGGCAGGTGATGGATCATGTAGCTTTTCTCTCCCTGGCCCTCATCGGGGTTCTTCAGCAGGACACTCAGGCCGTATGTGGTGTTTCCCAGGATGACCAGTGCAAACAGGAAGTAAGACACTCCCTCTGTCGATTTCCTCTTGTACTGTGGGAATAAATCAGACGGGGGAGAAAGTGAGAAAAACATTTTTTTAAAGCATTTTGGGGGAAATGTTATGTTTTACAGCACAACTACAAATGTTCCCTCGGATGGGTTACATTCCATTTTGCTTCAATTTTTTGATCTTGTTCAGATTAAAACACATTAAAACACAATTTGCAAGGCTTGGGAAAGTAAAATATTATTACATTTCCCATTTGGCAGCTACTAATCTCATTCATATTTAACAAAATGTCTCATTTAAATAATTTACTCAATGCACATTTTGTTCCTGACTACAAAACTTTATTAAAAGTGTATTGTTCATAAAGTAATTTATTGTTCAGAACTTATTTTACTTGTTTTACCAATATCTGTGCCAATTAAAAAATAAATGCAGTTATAAAATTGAAAACTACAATTGTAATGTCTGCAATATACAGTGATGCTAAAAAAATGATATAAGGATGCTCATCCTGTAAATATTTGTATTAGAAATAGTAGTCCCAGTTAATGTCTATGAGTAGTAGTAGTAGCAGCCAGTAGTACTTGTCATACTCACGTTAGTGTACATCTGGGGGAGTCTCGAGCAGAGGTAGAGCACGGAGGACACAGAGCCGATGGAGAATCCAATAATCTCTTTAGGACTGAACGCCTGCAGCGACAGAGAGGCAGACACAACAACGTCACAACAACGTCACAACAGCTCATAACAGTTGACTTCCCTCAGGTCACTTGTTAAACAACTCATGACTCACCTTGATAGCACTGAGGTCAGAGGTTGAGAGCAGGGCACGACTTCTGAACTCTGAGGGAATAACTTCCTGTTGGGCTCCTGACCCGGGGAGGTGCACGAGGCTGGAGGTGAAGCCCAGGACGCAGGCTACCCCCGCCACATGCAGAACCATCCTGCCTGGGGAGAGACAGCATGAGGGCTCAGCATCAATACTTGGAAAGACTTCTTAGCACATTCCTCCAGACAGTGAGGCCAAAGGTCGCCATGAGGGAACAAACGCTACAGAAGACATCATGACGGGGTGCAGTCATTATCCTCTTCCTCCGTCTGGACTTGTGGTGGATCGATGTTCATCAGAGCTGATAAGAGAAGCTTTTTCACGAAAACACTAGATAATACTAATCTTAGAAATAGACCTAGGAAGTAATTCAATCAATAAAGATTATGGCTACAGTTACACCTGGAGATAAAATGCATGTCTGGGGTTATTCATTCTATATGATAACAAAGGCCTTGGTGTAGGATACCAAATGAGGCACTAGGGTGCAAATAAGGCACTGACACTCAGATGGCACAAAGAAAAAACATCTTTTGTTGTGCATTTGAAAACGGAATATTTAGAACAAAAAGCACACTTACTTTGCCGCATTCTGTTCTTCGCCATGTAGTATAAGTACAATGCCAGCATCATCAGGTCAGCTATAACGTAATAAACAGCTGTATATGTCTGGAAGACGGAGAAAAAGACCAATTGAACCATGAGCTCAACACAGAAGGACTCAATAAAAAAAAGTGCAATATCACAATTTTTAGCGATGCGTTTATCTAGGTAACGTCAAAAAGGGCCTTTCGCAATACATTGCGAAAAATCATGTTTGCTTCACTACAAGTCACCTGAAGTGGAAGTTGGTCTGCCAAGAAGGAGCCCACCAGGTTACAGCCGTCCCCTCCCAACCACAGCAGCAGAAACCAAATGGAGAGGGCGCTGTCCATATTCCCTGTTTTACACGAACTGTAGTACTGCCTGCAATAAGAAACAACACAGAGAATTATACATGATGTTCGGATAAAAGAGAAGTTCCTCTTATGAAAGAGAAGTTCCTCTTAGAGGCCCAGACACTTACGGAAGAGAAGAAACCATGAAGCAGAGGATGGACAGGAGGCCGAGGTAGATGCTTGCCATGTCCCTCCCGTCCTGGGCACATTCTCCGAGACCTTCCCAGACCCATTTTGAGCCATTGGGGCAGAGGGAAGAGAAGTTTCCTGAAGTGCTCACTCCAAAAAGCCCCCGCGAAAGGACTCCATCTGTCATCATATTCACCTGAAGAGGAAAGGCTTTGTGAATAAACAGTTAAATTAAACAAAAGTCACATCCTGATTCTACATATGCAGCCTATATACAATGTTAACACACTGCTTCCAAGAAAGAATAAAAGGAAAGTGGCACAGAAAAACTCCAATCAGCCAACCATATGGCACTGATGTGGAGTTTTTGCCGCTTTGTAACACACACTCTCAAATCAGACATATGCATACCATGAAGAGCAACACGTATGTACCACAAACCTCGACACCTAAAGCAAGTAAATGTGTTCGTTATGTGGTCAAAGGGTGTTAAATAAGACATTTAAATAGGTTTAGGTCCACATTGCCGTTGCGTTGGTTACATTTGGTTTAAAACAGTAAAAAAAAGTTTGGGTCACATTAATACAATGGGCAACACAAGAAAACAACAAAAGGCACAAGAAATTAAACTTTTTTTGTTAGTCTCTTCGCTGGCTAACTTACTAGCAGAAATCTGATTCTTGGCTGTAGCTTTTACGTTAAATAATATCAACAAAACACAACACTGGAAAGGAACAAAGCAAATAAAAAATGTGTTTTTCTTGCCTGTGTGGCCGGTTGCATACCGATAAAGTCCTTAGAAGAACACAAACCTCTCCGAGACTGAACAAACAACACGGAAGCCAGAATAGGTAATAAACAGCTCAGGGCTGAGGCCGCGAGCTGATTGGTCGTGAGGCTGAAACGTCACTGCATTATCACGTGACAAGTGGCTCGTGAGCTCCAAAACAAACCAATGGGCCTTCAAAATAAAAGTTTTAAATTGGATCAGGCTTCCAGGAAATCTTCGGCTATTTAATAAGAATTGTATCCATGTGTTAAAAAAAATGTGCGGTAGACAGCCTTATAACTTGTAATTGTTTAACACAATGTGAATTTAAGAAACACAAGAAGATTTTAAGTGCAACACTGACAACTAAACTAATTCAGAATCAGAATCAGAATAATTTGCCTCTGGTTATTCTGAAAGTGAATCTGTTGCACACCTTGATCATCAATACATAAAATGGATAGAACAAAACAACCCCAATCAATAATTTATCTCTTGATTATTCATTTACTTATATTTTGGTATTATTTTAAAGTTTGATGAATAAATGTTGCCAAATTACATTCCTTGGTTGAGACTTATTATTATTCACAACTGTAAAACATTTGTGAAGACTGTGGAACACGCCAATGGCTTGCTCTCATGTTAATGTTACTTCATTGTTAAAGCTGGGACACCTTAAAGATGCCAAAGTAAGCTCACCACCGCTCTCATACATTTTTCACATACTCTCCTCACATATCAACAAGTCTTGTTAAATTGGATTATATAACTGCACGTGGTAATTCAGTCATTAGTTCTCAGCCGACATTAGCTCAGAGGTCTCCTTACATTCTTTAACTACTTTTACATTTGAGTATGCAGCCGTGAAAAGCAAATCACTTGTTTGACTCAGGTCAATGATGGGTAATTCCTGCGTTAAATCAAACGGGATTGTATGCAAATGTTCCCACTCAGTGAATTAAAAAAGATTATGAAGTGTTCTAAAAAGGCTACTTTAACAGTGGCAGTTCTTCTCTTTTGTAATATGCAAATAGGATGAGATGGCTAATTGTCATTATCACAATACAACAGGGGTTACCTTTTAATCATAATGACATGTCCTAGTTATCTTATTTTCAAGCGAAAACATCCTACCTGGAAGAGACGATTCAATCCAAATTCAGACTTTGAATGAAAAATGAAAGAGGTGCTATTTCCGAAATGTCATAGTAGCAAAGTGTGTCAGCTGACAATCTGACTCCCAGAATGCCGACTCAGCACCTCCCCACGCTGATGTTAGTGGGTGCAGTTTTATTTTCAGATTTGCTAAAAGTGAAGTTTCCACTGTCGTCACGTGCTTCTAGTAAAATGGGCCAAAGTGCTCGAAACCAGATGTGGGAGAAATACTCAGATCTTGTACTTGAGTAAAAGTATACGTACCAGAGTGTAGGAAAACTCTGTTAAAAGTAAAAGTCCTGCATCAAATGTTACTCAGGTAAAAGTGCAGACATTAACATCAAAATATACTTAAAGTACCACAAGTGAAAGTACTTATTATGGAGATTGGTCAATTTCAGAATAATATATGATATTCTTTTTTATATTTATATTGATGCATTCATGTGTTTATCAAAGCTGGTAAAGGATGGCTGAATGACTTTGTATACTGCAGGGTAGCTTGTGCATTTACTCCAGGTGTAACTAAAGTCTTATTTAAGTGTTGATTATATTTTACATTATTAATCCATATCTGTAAAGTAACAAAATGTACAAAATAAATGTAGTGGAATAAAAGTACAAAGTAGCATACACTTGAAATACTCAAGTAAAAAAGTAGAAATGGCAATGCAGAAGCCGAGGCTGCGATGTTTATATGGTGTCACTGCAGAATTGTTATGGAGCCTTAAATCATGGCATCATTTATTTCTGTGCACCACAGACTTGAACAATCAGCAGGGATGGGGGAGGCTGTGGCTCAGTGGATGGTGTGCTGGACTTCGAATCAGGGGATAGCAAGTTCGACACCAGTCAGCATGTCGTTGTGTCCCTGGGCAAGACACTTCACCCCAAATGGCTCCTGTGGGGATTGTCCACAGCATTGAATGTATGAAAGTCGCTTTGGATAAAAGCGTCTAACAAATGACATGTAATGGATATGAAACTGGAACCTACGTTCATCCGCTATTATTAATAATTCATGTACACTACTTTGTCTATGCCCATTTCAGTCAGTAAGAAAATATGAAAAACAGGATTTAATTTTTTCACCACTGGAAAAAAATGGATTACAAATGTATTGGTCTGTTTCAGACATTTGAATTCCCTTTTTAATCGGTTTTTACTCTTTAAATATGTTTTAGGTCATTTTAAATGTTAAAATGCATGTGCGAAATAGGATATTCAAATAAAGCAGCCTTTTCCACATATCGCTATTAAAATGTTCTGTAAAGATTTGGAGCTGTTAAATTTACAATTTGAAAATGTTATCCAACTACATTTGTTTCCATGGAGGCATACATTTTAAAATCATGAGAAAATTAAATCAAAATGACCTCCAGCGGTACTACTTTTCACCTTGCCTATAGAAGTATAATCAATAAGCGTTTCACTCTAGACCACACCACACAGTGATACAGTCAGGTCAAACTACTCCTTCAACTTCAAGACTATTCAGCCTGATGTTAGGCCGCTCTCTTACTGTATTGTGTTTCCATGGGGGCAGACATTTTAAAAGCGGGACAAATTAAATCAAAAATGGCTAGATACAACCATGGAATTTATTTTTTCAATATTTTTCTTATTAGGATAGCAACCTACTCCACAACACACATTTTCTTTGATATATTTCAAGAACAGGTTTTATTGATGATGCACCCAAACATCTATACTGTAGGAATACCTTCAGCGGGCCAGATTCTCTTATTTACATTTCACTTCCACAAAGTTATACAAACACTTGGTAGGTTTCATATCAAAGTATAGATATAATACATTAAGAATGGAGGACAGGGGATTCAAATCTTTTATAAAGCACTTTTCACAACAAATCTACACATGAGATGGGTTGTTAAAAAAAGAAGGAGAATTCATTTAATGTATCTACTGCAAAACAAGTCCTACGGTAAAGTCTGTACAAGCGAGTTCTTGAGTGTCCATGAATGTACGGAGGTAATGCAGCTCTTCTGTGATTCTGTCCTCCAGAGTTGTGATAAAGGCAGGTTTTTAATGACAGTTTATTCTTTCAAAGGCAAGGATGAGATAAACCAAGCAGTTTGTACAGCGGACCTCCTCCTTTATTGACGGCTGCCTCAAACAGACGAGAAGTCGGAGACGTGAGGAAGACAGTTTGTTTTACTTCTCTGGTGTATTTTGAGGTCGTTTCTCACTTGATGTGGAACACTTTCTCGTCTATTCTTAACCGTTTGCGTCTGGGCTGTATGAAGTCCTCGTCAGAGTCCTCTGTGTCCTCCTTCTCCTCGGTTGCTGGACCCTCTGTTTGTGGTGTTTCAGGGAAGCTCTGCCCGGGGAACGACTCCTGCAACTTCTCCTCAAAGTACAGGCTCACTGCCTTGCCGGATATTGCCATCTCCGATCCGGCCTGTCGGAGGAAGAAGAAGAGGAGGGAGAAGAAGAGGGTGATAGAGGCAGAAGGGTAGTGACAGACAATAGAAAAGGAAAAATGGAGGGAAGAGGAAGAGCAGAATGAGGAGACAAATTAGATGTGGTTAAGACTTCTGATGGTTGTTTGCCCCAGCTCAACGTTGCTGTACAGAGCAGAGATATCCTGCCGCCTCATCCCACTGTTGCTCCATGAAGCATTCCCAAAATGTGGAAAAAAGGGTGCCAATTTTCAGAAAGGCTTTTTTCAAATACTTGCATACAATTTTAGGGTAAATGAGGGAAGCAGAGGGGCAAAGATAACGCATGTGCATTTTAAAAGGCTGGTGAAAATTAGGTGATTAATACCCGTTAGAATATTGTGAACATTAACAAATGTGCAATACCACGAACACAAACATATATAATGAATACATATATTTAAATGCACAGAGTTATATTTGATCTGTAGCCCAAGGGTAACTAGAACTCGAGAGCCCTGATGTATGTATGTCTTGTCAGCTAAGTTAACTGAAAATACCAAACTTCAAAGCCCAGTTCCTGAAAATAAAACTTGACTCAGCAACAGGAAGTGAGCAGTTCACACAGATGACCAGAAAGACCAGTCAGCTTATTCTTGATCTAAGAGAACCTCAAATGTAATTCTAGACTACCTTTATGTGCATATTCACATCAATTAATCAAATACCATGATGGGCCATGCAAGCCATAATTCATTTGGGCTTCTCATATTCACTGGCTTTCACTCACATGTTCTTTATCAACATTTCACTTTTCACCTCTCTATATACATTACATGTATGCTCTGCTTTCACATTTGAGAGTAATTTAACACCCAAGAAAAATCTTGCATTTGCTGACCTCCAGTGGTTTGAAAAGTCCCCTTGCTGCAGTGAAGTATAATCAAAAACCACGTCACACTATACCACAGCCATCAGTGATACAGTCAGGTCAAACTACTCTTTCAACTTAAAGACAGCACAACACTGCTTTTCAGCCAGGCGTTAGGTCACTCTCTTAGTGTATTTTGTATATATTCAGGTTGTACATATACAATGAAATACATTCTTATTTATTCATTCATTCTAATCTTACAACCATATTTTCAATCTAAAGATATATATGAAATCTAAATGAAATAGAACATACCAAAGGTTAAATAACTATTGTTCACCAAGCAAAAAACATATTTTCCTTTCAATATGTCTTGCATAGCAGAATGAATTATATACACGCTACACCTTAACACCGTGGGCCGTTAAAACTAGAAAATAAATGGTCGGACCAAACCCCATCAACCAAATAACATGGAGATATGTTTTTTTACTTTTTCAACTCCAGCAATGCCCTTACCGCCTCTCACTATGATACATGAAAACAAATGTAATGAAATTTCAGCCTTCAGATGAAGGGCTTAAAACATTTCTTGGAGCATCAGTGGGAGGAGACAGGACATCTGTTCTGTTTTGGAAACCTGCTTACCTGCGTATTAATCTGATTCTCCTCATCATAAACCTGGATTATTCGAGACATCTAAAAAGGGGCAATAACATTACAACACACACAGTGAAGCAGCAGGGGGGGAAAAAAGATTTCACAGCAAAGCAGGTTAGAAATATATCTGTTGACGGCCTACTCGCGCCTATGCAGCGTTCATCACCGAGTTATTACAGGAAGTAAAGTCTGCACTCCTACGTTCATTTAGTCACATAGGCTACAGGAAACGGAGAACATGTTATCCGTTTGACTTAATCTCTAGTTATAAATACATGTTTTGCCAAATTCAGTTCTGTCTTTAAATGAATCAATCAGTCACATCAAAGTTCTATATGTTGGTGGCATGTGTGAAAAAATACTTTAACTAATAAATCACAGAAATAAATTAATAGAGATTACGTACAACTAAAAAGGTTTTATACTTAAAGAATGTATTCTCTGGATTATCTTCACAAAAGGTGATGCTCCAAGTATTGCTGTTCTTCAAAGCTCTCCATTATGACCTCTGATTGTGCTGTTATGTTAAATGTTTGTGTTTGTGTGTCATGTATTGTGTCTGGATACTTGTCTGTTGATGTTGGACATGGAGCTGCTGTGACGCAAGTCAAATTTCAGACTTGATCTGACCAATAAAGTATTATCGTATCGTATGATTAGCTTCGAGTCATTGAGTTTTTCAGTCTCTAAATTGGTTTTCAGGAAAGTTTCTTAGATTTATACTTTATTGGTACTTGTTCATCTCAACCTTTTTTAATGCTCCTCCCTAGAATTATTTCATTTTTCTTGTGTATATATTCTGTGAAAACGGACGTCCATTTTAAATGGCCAATCAACAGCGTCTAATTGCACCACATACTGACAAAAAAACAACAGTCGTTCCTTATGTCTTTTGAAAAATCGAAAGAATGGTGCTATTAGTAAAGAGAAACTCATTATTCGCTTAAAGGGGACCTATCATGTACGTCTTTTATACATGAATATGTGTCCCCGGTGTGTCAGGGAACTCACCAAGTGTCAGAAAACACAACCCTCTCTCTTTTCCTCCATACCCAAATCTCTAAAAACGGGGCTTTAACGGATCTGATACAGACTGATCCAGATTTGAAAATAGTCTGACGTCAGTGACGAGGAGCTCTGCCTATATGGCCAACTCTACACCTATCAGGGGAATAAGAGGTTGCCGTGGCATGGTAGCAGCATGGCAACATGACGCTCGTAACTCGGCCCCCTCCTTTGCAGGGGGGCGTGGTCAGCTGCAGCGCATGCAAAGACAGGGTGGAGGAGAGCAAAATAGAGCGAAATGAGGCATGGCTAAAATGCATGATTTGTTTGGTATTTTGAAAAAAAAAACGTATAAATATACCTTATATAGGTATGGCCCTACAATATATTATTCAAATATAGCATGATAGGTCTCCTTTAAATAAATTCACTTTGTTGTAATAAGATTTAAAAAATGTTTTAAAAGCCTCCAGCAAGACGTTTTTGTGGTGCTTTATGTGCCCTGAGTAGTGTATGACGTTCAAATGACTTACTTAATGATTACTTGAAACAAATCAAAGCAACAAAATATTTATTAAGCCTTGCCTTTGTTTTTATGTGAGAACGCTTCGTACTGTTCATTTTGGCTACATAATAGTAGTTATATTTTCCATTTTGTGAGGTTGTTAAGAGCATTCAGGATCAATATTATCCAAACATAGAGATCCCTAAGGGCAGACTGTTTAGACGTTGTTTTTATAAAATAGAAGCTCCCTCATGTGGTTGGAAGGTGTAATGCATGGTAATACACATTTTTTATCGTCTATTCCTCTAGGAAGCACGACTCTGTTTCTATTACACACAGAGGGTACATCATCAGAACATAAGCAATGTGGCCAATGCCCATCCTAAATAATCAACCAAACAAATACATCCCACTCCCATCATATCCCCAGAGAAGAATAAGAAACAAATCAAGTGATCACAGCGATCCATTAATGACCAACTTGTGATTTATCATTGGGATGCAGACGGTGTTAACAGGGTTTCAGACAGTGGTCTGCAGCCAGGGTGACGATAGCACAGTGACCCCCCCATCCTCCATCAGCCAGTGTTAGTACTACTTATACAAAACTGTACACACTATAGCACCCTTTCCCACATCCTCCTCCAAGGTCAGCTTGTGTCTCCACATTAGGTTAGACTTATATATTGAGGTGGTATATGATTCATACTACTAATATTTGCTATTTTTCATCTATTCATTTCACTGCACTAACGTTTTTGCAATGTGAGGCCTAGTGTGATAGCCTAGTATCTGATGATTCAATTTAAGATACTCAATTAAACTTCAACTCATATTAGTCTAACCCTTGTCCACACACACACACACACACACACACACAATTCCCCAAAGCAGGCTCAGGACTCATGCTGCTCACCTCGTTGTAATTTGCGCAGTTTGTGAAGACCAGGCGCATGTCGGACACAAACTCCTGCACAGACTGGTAGTGCTGGGAGCTCCGCAGCTGCAGCCTCTTCTTCACCTTCTTCAGGTCCATGGGCTTCTTGATAATCTTGTAGTAGTTGGGCACCTGGTTGAACAACATCAGAAAACATCTCTTACTATTTCAGAGGAGGGGGGGATAATGAAAATTGGACTTGAATATGAGAGGCGGAGGACAATGTGTCTTGCAGTTTGACAGAAACAACAGAAATCTGAATCAAAAGGCAGTGGAATTGAAGTGTGCTTTTTCAGAACACCTGTTGTTTTAAGATCAATGCATGTAATACTGTATAATAGTAATAATATCATCTTAATTCTGTACTAGGTTCAAAAGCAACTGGTCTTTTTTTTTGTAGTTTGCCCAGTCTGGTGGCTTTAGGACGTTTTCTTGGAACCAGTTTTAGAGCAGAGAAAACAGGCTCTTAACACCTACACCACAAGGTGAACAATAATTAATTCTAAGATGATTAAAATTTTTAATTGTGGAGCTACTTACCGAGCTGAGAACAGGTTCCCTGAAGCCCACACTGAGCTCGTGGCAGTAGATGTGCAGCAGGAGGCGTTCACATTTCTGAAGACGGAGGAAGAGAGGGTTTTAGCTGCCAAGTGATAATCATGCAGAGCTCTTTGAAGTTGTGATGATGTACTGACCCTTTGGTCCTCAGGACTGAGCCCCTGTTCCTCTGGGTTCCTCGTGCTTTCGTCACAGTACTCAATCTCGGGGGTGGTTAGACTTCGGCAGAACGTGCAGAGAAAATCACCCCTAAAACATAGGAAAAAAAGAGGACATATCAATTAACAGCTGCTAAAGAAAATGTTTAAAGAAGATCAACCAATATTTGGAAGAATATGGAGTGACGAACTGGGATGTTATGTTCAGACTGACTTTTCTGTCGGCTACAACTCCTGTTAATACTAATCGGGTATCAATTTTGTCGATATCTGAAACATGTTCGGATTTTTAGGAGTTTACCAATACATCGATCTGGATTGATTCAATAATCCAATATCATCAATGCAAAGTGAAAACATCACTACATGTCATTGTATTTAAAATGTACGCCCTTATGCTGGAATTACAACAGCAAGTGCGTGTCCCCATTTCCATTAAAACGCAACCTAAAAACATGAGAAATGTGAAGGTCTTTTTTTTAATCTTTTAAAGATAGAATGCATTTCTTTTAAATGACTGAAAGAGCCCAGAAATAAAATGTTCTAATCGTATTTTTTAGTTTTGTGAGTTGACCTCAATATAACCAATTGATAAATGGGCATATGATTCCATCTCATATCGATTGCAGACGTCTGAATTGAATCAAAATCGGAAACATGTCATTATCATATAATGTATCGTTATTGAGAAAAAATATAAATTCTAACCCATTCATGAATAACAAAATGTTACACTACCTAAAATAAAGATGACTTAAACTAATGACTTACGTTGGGAAGATTTTGATGGTGGGAACGTGGCACTTCATGTGGAACACTTTGGGGCAGCGGTCGCAGCACAGCAGGTCTCCTCCGTTGATGCAGACAGCACACCAGTCCTCATTGGGGTCTTCCCCCTTCTCTGAGTTGCCATTAGTGAGCGAAGCGCCGGATGTTTTGCTGCCGTTCCCAGAGTGTAGCGAGGTAGCGGAGGTCGTTGTGGGAGTGGAAGAGGTGGCGGCCCCGGAGCCAATTCCAGAACAAGGCGTCCCAGATTGGGGTTCCGTCTTGATGCGCTCCCCTAAAGCCCTGAGAGCATCTAGGCCAGAAGATACGACTCCCAATGTAGGATGGGTGCTGCTCTCCGGATTGCTCATCTGGGGGTAAAACACACAAAATGTTTTATTTAAAAAAGGCAGTATATTAATAAGTCTTATTTTCACAAACTCAAATATGGAGCCCCAAAGAAATAAAATTTCAGAGCAAAGATTATTTCCTCACTTATCATTTCATCAGTGCTAGCATGTGTATACTTTTTTTTTCTCTTCCCTCGATTTCTAACCAATTCTCTTTTTTACATATATATTAAATAATAAGCAGATTTCTAAGTATGTCAAAAGGAAAAGATGAATGGTTCTGACAGAATTGATCAAGCCAAGTTGTGCATAGTAGCTTTGAAGTAGCTGAAAAGGAAATCACGGCAAAAAGTTCCATACAAAAGCAATATTTACTAGAATCCATTTTGTTAGGAATCATTGGTTCTGGCCCATTTAATCAATATTACCAGTAACAAGGCATATGTTTTAGCATGTATTGAATTGGAAATGCTTCCATTTTTTTACGGTGGCTGAGAAGGGCAAACGGGAATTACAAAGTGTGAAACAATAACAAAGCTCGAGACAAATGTACATTTTATAAAACAAAATTACATTAGCAAAACACTTTTACCAAGGAAAAAACAATTTAAAATGAACAATAACAAATTAACAAGATGCGAAACACTTTTAAGAGAACTGAGACAAATGTACAAGTCCCAAGACACTTTAATATTTGTCGAAACACTTTTACTAACTAGAGAATCAAAGCGGAAAGGGAATGTCCATTATACCGGAAGTGACGTGCAAGTGATTGACTCAAACTTAAGTTTGTTTTGGCAGAAAGACCGACGGTCTGTCAGGTCCATGCCCTTTACGCTCTCCAGAGATTGTCCACAAGATGAGCAAAACTGTGTCGCATCTTGTTAATTTGTTATTGTTAATGTTAAATAGTTTTTTCCTTGGTAAAAGTGTTTTGCTAATGTAATTTTGTTTTATAAAATGTAAACTTTGTTAAAGTGTTTCACACTTTGTAATTCTCGTTTGCCTTTCTCAGCACCATCATTTTGGCTGGGATCATAAAATACCAGTAACAGTATTTCGTTTGAAGCTAAGGATGAAGAAGAGTGTTCATACCATGCAATCACTCCTCCCATCTTTCCCCCGCTCCGTCTTCATAGAAGAAGTTGGACAGCTGTTGCTTTCTTCTGTTCCAGGTTCCTGCTTCACCCTCACCACCGCAGCGCCACCTCCTGGCCCCGTCTTTCCAGCCGAACTACAGCTTAAAACAGACAAAAACAAAGCGTGCAGAAAGAGTTAACGTAGGCTGTTCAATTCAATCTCATTACAATGTTAAACCAAGTAACTGTTTATTATGATCCTACTTGTTAATTAAAACTGCATACAGTGACATTAGTCCCTATGTGGAGCACAAACAAAACCTACAGAATACTTGTGTAAATGGGCCTGTTTGTGTTTAACAAAAGCATGTAAAGCAAGACCAAACTAAACTGACATTTATATTAAATAAGATGGTGATGAGGCAACTAAAACATCTTTCTTAAGTTTAGGAAAAGGTTGAAGTAGTGATTCAATAAAATGCAAAAAAATGTGTATGAGACAAGAGGTGTCACACTTCAACATCCACCTTCTGTCATTGACCGGCCACTGGTTTTAAAAGGTCTCCTATTATACTATTTGCAGGCATATATTATAGGTCCTAGATATATAAAAACATGTCTATGAAGTGTTTTGCTCAAAATACCAAAGAGATCACCCATTGTAACATGCCTCATACCCCTCTATTTAAGCCCTGTCACTGAAGTGCTGATTCTGGGTCTGTAGCTTTAAATGTAACCCGAGCTGCTGTGGCCACGCCCCCTTTGGAGCTTGCATGAGCTCTCTGTTGCGGCTTTCACACCAGCGCTTTTCCCTTTCTAGCTCGAAGCTAGAGCTTTTCTGGTTCAGCTCTGGTTTCCCTTTTCTGCTCCCGCTTTGTTCACACCGCTCAGAGCCCGACTGCCGCTGCTGCGTCATGACGTCACCGTTTACATCGCTGATTTGCTCCCCAACGGCGTCCACAACAACAACAACAACAATGGGGGACTGCGTCGGGTCGATGATCGTGTTGCTTTTAATCACACTAAGCCAGATTAAATTAAATAACGACTTCTCCAACCTTATGCTTTTCTCTGAGTGCCGTGGTTCATTTAAGCAATAGCTCACGACAGGCCGTGGTATATGCTCATTATATCACAGCTAAGGGGCGTGGTTCGGCCCGACGCGAAGCGGAGGGTCGACAACCCCCTTAGCTGTGATATAATGAGCATATATCACGGCCTGAAGTGAGCTATTGCTTTTATAAAACGGTTACCAAGTGTGGCAATATGAAAGAAAAATACACACTCTAATTTAAATAGTTTTTATTAGTAAATAATGATGTTCAAAATAAAATAGTCCCTCCGTTGCCTTCCTCACAAAACATAGTGCAAGGTGGTTGCTACGCAACAACACTAACAGCAAGCGAACATATTAGACAGAGAGCGATGATCCATTATTTGGCTGTTTATTTACATTAATGTGTATGTTGCTGTTTATTGTGGATCCACTGAAAAACTGTCCAGCATCAGTAGCATGGCTTACGTGGTCACTTGTATAGGTTGAGGTTGTTCGAAGCTGTTGCTTGGCGTGGCGAGAATATTCCTCCACTTTCTCCGGTCCCCGAGATTGGGCTTCCAGTAGCTCTGGAGAGAGCTTTCGCACCTGTGGCCACTAACGGTCATAATTTCTCTGCTTTGTTTCAAGACCCGCATCAGAAAGCTTTTGAATGGTGCTACTTTTCGTTGGTCTACCTGCTTCTTCAACGTAGCTCTGCATGTCTAAGTTTTCAGGTGCTTTTTTATTCTGGAGATAGGCAGCTGCTCCAATCGCACTCCTCCTACCTAAGTAAGACCCCCCCCGGAGGTCGAAATTAAATCTTAAATGTTTCCATTTTATCCTTGGTAAGTTTGTTTCGTAACGCGAAGAAATCTTAAATATATCTTATAAAAGCTGACAGTCAAATCAAGCAAATCTGTATTGGCCGATAGCGTTTTTTGCGGACGCTCCTTCTTGATTACCAGATTTGAAAACCAACGTTGGCTTTGGCTTAAAAGTAGCAGACCAATAATTATGTTAAACGTTGTCAAAAAGTGATGCTAGAATACTCCCCTGCCCTAAAATGGCCANCCCAGCTTCTGTCCCGTTACTTCTCCGCTGCTTTCTTGTTCCAGTATGAATATACTGTTTTTCTCAGACGCGGAGGGATACTGACTTGTTGTGAAAAGTAACTTACAATTCTACCCGTGGTATACGCTCAGTATATCACGGCTAAGAACCAATCAGATTGCTTGATTTGACTTGTCCGTTTTATAATGTTTATTAATGTGTTTCAGCGGCATTTACCGACCGCTGCAGTGCTGGCTGCTCTTCCACAAGAGTGTATTCTCCCGTTAGCTCCCGGTTAGCTCACACTGCAGCGGCCGCTCTAAAGTATTCACTGTCCGACTGTCACACAAGCAGCTGATACATATCCCCAGTTCCCCTTAAGGGAATGTGTGTCAGTCTGAATTGACGCTGTTTGGCATCACAACGCTGTTATGAAAGTTTCTCTGGTATAAAATGGGTGATGTTAGCATAGCAACCGAAGCTAAACTGACTAGTGGCTATTGCTATCCTATTGTGGCATAAACGGTTTTCTACAGGCACATTTTACCGGCGTATTTGTATTATGATTCTACTTGTGATAGTCGCACACGACAACCTGTGCAGCCCATGTATTGATTCCATCCGATAGCTGCTATAATACAAAACGTCTGCCTGCTCTCCACAATGATCAATAACAGTGAACGGATGGTCAAAGTAAGGTACAAATAAACAGAATCACACGAAGCCTGGTTAGTGTTGCCTGACTTTATAAAGTGTGTTTTGAAGCACTACTGCTTGTAGGCAGGCATGACGAGACTCTTCAGTCGCCCGATGTTCAGGGGAGGTGGGTTTAGCTTCCTGCACGCCTCGACGTAAGAGAGACGTAAGCGACGCCGCCTCTTAGCTCCGAAGCTCTTGCCTCGACCGACAATGTTTTGGAGCTGGAAGTGAACCGGATTCCGGAGCTAAGAGGCGGCGCCGCTGCAGTGTGAACAGGAAAAAACGGTACTTTTCAGGCTCCAGCTCCGAGCCAGAGCTGAAAACGCGTTGGTATGAAAGGGGCATGAGAAGAAAGAGGTTTCTACCATAGGGTTTCTACCCAGATTCTCAGCTAAATGCTGCCGTGATTAAACGCCATATTAAGTTCCAAACCACATCAAGGATTATTCCTGAAACAGTATGGAGCTCAAATGCTTTTTCTCTCACGGGTTTACCACAAATAGAGTACCTTTTTATATCCTGATTTTTTAAACATACTCTCTGCAGTACAGGTTAGCTCTGAGTGTTAGCGATGCTTGTTAATGTAAACACAGATCATATTACTTCCAAAACACGTCATGCATTGTTTCTGATAGAAACATTTCTGATAGGGCCGTGGGCGTAAAGCCAGCCCACATTTTAGTAATGTCGACTTGTGACCGCAGCAAATCTGGATCAGCTCCAATGTACACCCGTTTTTAGAGATGTGGGTAAGGAGGAAAAGAGAGAGGGTTGTATTTTCTGACACTTTGAGAGTGTCCTTACACACTAGGTAGGGACACATATTTATGTATAAAAATGTTGAATTTTGCCAAATAGGAGACCTTTAAAGCTTGTAGTTTGACCTGCAACACAGATGTGGCATGACCATTGTTGTTTGTATCAGTTGTTGCTAAATATTTGCTTACTGTGATCATGTCACCCTGACCAGATGTGTTCTTAGCAGTGGAGCTCAATTTAAAGTTAGGTTAAGTCTTTGGTTCATGTATAGAATCAATGAAACTTTATCGCTGGACATGTTCCAAAAAGCATGTTAAGGAGGGTGTTATGCTACTAAAATACGTCTTTGATCTGCTTACCTGCCTCTGCTGCCTGTGCTGGACGTGCTAGAAGGTCGTGCTGGTGTGTGTGCATTTGACAACCCTGAAGGCAGAAATGGGAAAATAAACAGGTAAATCATTACTTGTAATAATGACAGGGTCCTTTTATGGAAATAAAATAAAAATGGCTTCTACATTTGTTGGGAAAATACTGAATGTACTCTTCCAATATCAGAGTAGCACATGATAACAAAGGCCCAACTGTAGCTGTGTACATGACAGGATGTATGATTACCTGGAAGAGCATCAGGACTGTTTTAGACATATGATAGCTATGCGATTAACATGATGATTTAGCCTCTATGGAGATAGACATATGACAAGCATGATCATTTCTGACGTGGGCTTTAGCTAATCTAAACTAAACATTGAATACTGCTTTGAACTGGTATTCCTCCATCTTGTGACTGTAACTCCCTCTCTTGTATATAAGCATGTGGAGGACACTGTTCAGGAACTAGTTGTATCAAATGCTCAGTATGTGAGGACTACTTCCATTCTTGCAAGGATAATAAATACATGGATCCTGATATTAAAGCTCAAGCCGGTGACGAGTGATATTTTTCTAACAACATTCAACACTTTTTATAGGCTTTCGTGGATACTTGTTTTTTCCTTTTCAATTATGGCATTGTACAGTTTTTGTTATAGCAGACAACTACCATGAATAACAGACCTGTGCCATCGACCCATTCCGACCTCAAAAACAGCATGAAGAGTATTTCTTTAAGATGAAATAATAAAATAATATTTTAATCAATAGTTTGTGCCAAATTATTGATTTATTGAGTAAGTAGCCGTGAAATAATGTCATAGGATAATGTTCAGCAAGCAGTTTTTTTCATTCAAATTTAAACTTTTGATTAATAAAGACCAGCTCTCTGTACATTATCCATTACAAATCTTATAGCTTTTGTACTTATGCTTAAGAAGTCAGCTTTCAATATTTGGCAGTATATGACAAATCTTAGAAATGAATCCATTAGGTCTGTTATCATGAATGTGAATCGAACAACTTTAGAAAGCCAGAAATAAAAATAAATCTCTGTTCTCTGTCAGATGTGAAAGGGAGTCCATCTCCCTAAATGCGTGGCTACCTGAGGATCCAGGAGAGTGTGTGGACAGGCCAGGCGAGGGGTTCATGTCCAATGCGATGAGATGCTGCGCGCTGACTGAGATGCAGCGAGTCAGGAGGTGTTCAAGGCCGCTCGACCCTGCATCCTCCAGCTGCAAAAGCACAATGGCAGGATAAATATAAACAGAGTAAAAAAGGTCAAGAGGTCAAGGGATTTTCATCATAGAGGTATGCGTTTAACAGATACTTTGAATCAGGAAAATAACACCTGTTCATTTTGACCTGCACTTATCCTGTCTACACATCAGACTTAGAAGTTGTGCTTCTCGATTTTCACAGTAAACCACACATCTTATACTTTTCTATAAATTAACATTTGCTTATTTTGTTCTAGAGACTCTTTTTTTTCTATATTGCATATACTTTATTTTATAATTTCTTTAAAGAGGTCCGATTGTGCTTTTTTGTGTTTTCCCTTTCCTGTAGTGTGATATATAGGTTTTGTAAATATTTATGTATATGTAAATATTCTGCAAAGGCTAAAATCCTAAAGTTCCCTCCAAAGGGAGTTGTTCTCCCACACAAGTTCTTCAATATTGAACTCTTATTTTAGTAAAAAATACATTTAGAAGTGGCAGATGAATAAAAAGAAGATTTTACGGATTCTTCCTAAACAACAAATAGATGGTCTGAATGTTGGCACCTGTATGGGCGGGATCTCGGGTAGGCAGGGCAGGTTCTCAGGATTGGTAACGGAGGGGATGAGCTCGATGGGCCCTATTACGGGGCTGGCGGGGCCGCGGTGAGCATGGGCCCCCGCCATACTGGCACTGGTGGGACTCGTGGGGTTTGCGTTATGGAGGGATGCCACTGGGAAAGGGCCCGCATGCCCTGGGTTGGAATGCTGCAGAGAAAAACAGAGAAAGAAGGATGGAGGACAATTAGAAGAAGATAGAACAAAGAAAGAGACAGAAATAGAAAAAAGATGGGACGACAAGAACAATGGCACATATCATTCAATGAGTTTATTAAATAAAACATGTTGCTTTACAAACAACATGGTTGCATGATCATGCATTTGGGTGACACATGCTGCACAAGACACACAGATGACAAAGTAGAAAAAAAGATGCCAAACCCCTGATTGTAGTAAGAAACGAAACCTTTGGTGGCTCATCTCAGATTCTAAAGACATCTGGACACAAAGAAGAAGGGGCTGGATGTATCCTGGATATTTTACTTACCTAGTCTTACATGCAAGTAGTAAATATTTATATATTTTCACACTGTACACATTCTCTGAAAAACCAGATTCATCTGTATTATTACATTGGAGGCAGTGCGAAGAAGGACTGGAGGAGAACACAGCACAGTTGCAGCCTTCTATGAAAGTGCTTGTTAAAAAACCTGAATTAAAAACCTTTGATGGTTGGTGTGGAGTGATGTTCAATTTTTGCAAAGACAGCAGTTTGTTTTAATCAGAATAAACACAACATTCTCTCAGACTTGATTTGAGGAATCTGTGTTTTTGTGACACATAAAAACAGTTGGTAGCAGATATAGCCATTTTCCACAGCAGGAACTAATCAACATTGACATATTTTTTGGGGTTAACAGTTTTTGTCTTCGTCTTTATTAAAATGCTATAGGGACGACGTCCTGGAGCTAAATTATATGTTGCAGGTTCTTTGAGGGATGGCCAGCAGTATATTGGTTTGACACAATGGAACCCATTGTCAGCCGCAAACTGGCTCCCCACTCCTGCTCCACTATCTTTACCAGCTGATTGCTAACTGTGTCTGTCTGCTGTTGTGGTGCTGAGCAGGTGGTGTACAGGAAGTCTCAAGACCTTTCTAGATCTAAACAGGTGTCTCTTGCAGTCAATAATGATTTGCTGGTGGTGAACTAAAAGAGTTAGGCTGTAGCCTCATGGTAAACATTTGAAACTCACTTTAAAAGCTGTGTAAAGCATAGAACAGCTGCGGATTGGGGTGATAATTCTCTGCAGGTTTATAACCACAAGTGACCCCATTAACAGTCACACTGTCATTTGATATACTGGTATTATAATTTTATTTGTTATAGCCACTCATTTCCTGTAGGGGAAAATGACTTGCTGAAAAGGAGGACACTATCATCCGACGTAGGTTTCTGGCCTAGGCTGAGATATCTGCTGAGGTGATGCATTGTGGCCCAAAAAGACAAACAGTATGGTTAAGGCTTTTTTTGTGTTTCCCCCCCGTCAATGCACCAGTTCGTTTGCGTCTGTCTGGATACAAAAATACTGCAAATGAAGCTGCAAGGCCGCGCTCCATATTTTATTTTATGGAGTCAATTTAGGTTTTTACTTGGTAGTAACCTGGCATATGTCAATTGAGTTTTAATATCATATGGTCCTTTTAAAGTACAAGTAATCGTATTTGTATGAATGGCAGCTCTAAACCTTATTCCTGATAGAGTTAAAAAATAATAGTGCTTCCTTCCTTCATTTTAAGTATATTCATTTAATAATTTCAAAAATAGTCAGCTTTTGAATCTACTTCAAAAGTATCAGCTGACAGATACTGTACTCTTCAATATTTATAAAAATCTTTTACCAATAAAGATATTTAAGAATTGTTTAAATACCCACATAACAGGAACAAGATGAATTAATGTGTCAAGTGCTTTTCACTTAAACACAATATAAACAAACATCTGTGATAAGAGTCCCTGAAGTTAGTATTTATTCCTTATTCTTATTTAATAAAATGATCTGTGTAAATACAAGTAGGACATGTTTACAGTAAAATAAAACTGGTAGTAGCACAAACCATTTACTGGTTTCATGTTGACCTTTTTCTACACAAACTCAAATAGTAAAAAAACACAACCCCAGCCACAAAAAAAGAAAAAAAAGATGCTTGTTGTAGCTTTTCTAGCTGCCCTTAATTTCTACAGACTAAGCACATAAAAGCTAAATGAAACCTCTCAATGTCTGTTAGTATTCTCAGAAAAATGTGCACAAACTATACACCGCAAAAACTGTGTATTTCTTTCTTACTGCTGTACACATTATCTATACATTTTTGCTTTAAAAAAAAAAATAGACACACATTGAAATGCTAAATCTCAAACTATGCTGTAAATTACCAAGAATTAGAACCGTTTTTCTATTTCCATACAAAGAACCCAGAGTGTGTGTGCACCGACCTGTCTCTGTAGCTGAGGCTGCATCATGGCGGGATACTGCTGTCCGTTAAGTCTGGGCTGAGCCGTAGGCATTCGGCCCTGTGGGGGACCCTGGAGACGCATGTGATGAGCGGAAGAGTACATGGGGGGACCTGGCCCCCCGTTCATACCCCCAGGTCCTCTTGGTAGTTGCTGCATACTGATGAGCCTTGGAGGCTGTCGGAAAATCATAAATATACATGAAATGCGTGAAAATCTGATAATTTGATGAACAAAACTCGGCAATTTATGCAAACCGCAAACCATTTTCAGGGTCATGCAATTATAGATACAAAACATAATGAATAATAAGCTGCATTCACGTGATACACAACAAAACGGCTCTGCACTGAGATTGCCGTTGTGCCCTCGGTGAAGCGCACCGCTGAAATTGTCGCCCGGCGCTGCGCTCAAAGTTCAAATCATTTCAAAATATGACCACATTTACCGCTGACCTTTTTACGCGTAACCAATCAGATAGCAGCTGTTAGTTGAGCCGCACGCTACCAGGGAAGGTAACCATAGAAACACAACTTAGCTAGCTGTTTTCGCTGCAAGGCTCTGCGCCTAACCAGCCTCAGTGAGCAAAGCGCAAATCACATATGAGAATGCAGCTTTATAGATTCCTCAATCCACAGAAAACATTCTGCATTTATGATTTAGAAATACCAAATACTCACTGGTCACAGCTCAAAGGATTAGATTAGACTGCTTTTTCTTAGATAAAATGTATCTGATATTTTCAGGCTTTTGACAGTTGATTGGAGAAATTAAGTGAGGATTAAGTCTAAGATTCCATAATGTGTTCCTTGTGAGGGCCATTGAGTCTTTTTTATTTTATTTACTAAAATTATGAAATAAAGACTTAATAAAAAAAGATAAAAAAGAGGCAATAGATTCATTTGATATGTATAATTTCAGTGCAAAATGAAAGTATTTACTTCCTGTTCCCTGCGTGAGATAATTTCTCTAACATAGGCAATACAACATTTTGACCAAAAAAAGTAACTTTATTATTAAAATGATTGTTTTTGTTATTTATTTGTTGTTGTGTTGTATTGCCATGTCATGTAGCGACTGTCTCCCCGTTGGTGGGTACAAGGCTTCTTCCAAACAGCAATAAGTTAAAGGAGAAGACCAAAGTTCTAATAATCATTTTCACAACAGCCACTTGATGCCTTGTGAGTTTAATTTAGTGACAACACAACCAATGCAAGTATGCAATGTTTTTTTGCAGCCGTCTCTTATATCTTGAAAAGCACTTTGGCTTTACCGCACCACAGATAAGAATGTTAAGTTCCTGCTTACAAATGCATTACCACAAATCATCTGATAAAATAAAGGTTATGAACTCATGACTTTCACTCTCCATGCAGTTCAAATTCTCTGCATTATAATTTTTTATCTGAAACTGCATGCTTGCAAAAATAATTTAGAAATATGTTAGGCAGAAGTTCAATCATTTGTACTTAATGACCTGAAAAATCTAAACACTGTTATGGTGTGTTGCGTATCGTAAACAAAACAGAAAGCAGGGAAAAAAACACCAACATCATCTCCTATAGATATTTCAGTAAAAAGAGGAGAACTTCAGAACAAAGGGGGGACCTTGATAAAAAGAGAACTTCATACTAAATAGGAAATCATGATATAAAAAAAGAGAACTTTAAAGATATGGGGGAACTTTACAGAGAACACTTCAGACAAAAAGGAGGAACCTTATGGAAAACAGAACTGCGGAAAAACAGGGGGAACCTTAAAGGAGACCTATCATGCTATATTTGAATAATATATTGTAGGGCCAAACCTATATAAAAAGGTATATATATATATATATAAGTTGTTTTTTTCAAAATACCAAACAGATCATGCATTTTAGCCATGCCTCATTTTGCTCTCCTCCACCCCTGTCTTTGCATGCACTGCAGTTGACCACGCCCCCCTGCAAAGGAGGGGGCCGAGTTACGAGCGTCATGTTGCCATGCTGCTACCATGCCACGGCAACCTCTCATTCCCCTGATAGGTGTAGAGTTGGCCATATAGGCAGAGCTCCTCGTCACTGACGTCAGACTATTTTCAAATCTGGATCAGTCTGTATCAGATCCGTTGTAGCCCCGTTTTTAGAGATTTGGGTATGGAGGAAAAGAGAGTGTGTTGTGTTTTCTGACACTTGGTGAGTTCCCTGACACACCGGGGACACATATTCATGTATAAAAGACGTACAAAAGTGCATTTTGCATGATAGGTCCCCTTTAATGAAAACAGAACTGCAGAAAAACAGGGGGAACCTTATGGAAAACAGAACTTCAGAGAAAAGGGGAGGGGCTTACAAAAAGAACCTCCTACTAACGGGAGGCCCCTTACAAAAAAGAGAACTTCAGATAAAAGGAACCCTTATTAGAGAACTTCAAAACAAGGGGGACTCATATGGAAAAATAACTTCAGAGAAAAGGGAGGCCCCCATTAAAACAGATAACTTCTAACAAAAGGGAGGCCCCTATAAAAACAGATGACTTCAGATAAAAGGGAGGCCCCTATAAAAACAGATGACTTCAGATAAAAGGGAGGCCCCTATAAAAACAGATAACTTCAGATAAAAGGGAGCCCCCTATAAAAACAGATAACTTCAGATAAAAGGGAGGACCCTATAAAAACAGATAACTTCCAACAAAAGAGAGGACCCTATAAAAACAGATAACTTCAGATAAAAGAGAGGACCCTATAAAAACAGATAACTTCTAACAAAAGAGAGGACCCTATAAAAACAGATAACTTCTGATAAAAAGGAGGCCCCTATAAAAAAGAGAATTCAAGACAAAGGGGGGGAACTTTACAGAATAGAGTACTTCAGGTACTTCAGACAAAAGGACTACCCTCCCCGAAGAGAACCTTAAGAGATAATTGGAGCCCAGCTTTTCATGGTTATACACAGCGGTACCCTGAATGGTGAATGCTTTTTTACCTGCTGCTGACCCATGGGGGGCCCGACCGGTCTGACTTGCTGCTGGGACATTTGGGAGGCGAGGCGCATCTGTTGCTGGATCTGCTGCTGGTGCTGCTGCTGCTGCTGTTGTTGTTGTTGTTGTTGTTGTTGTTGTTGTTGCTGTTGTTGTTGTTGTTGTTGTTGTTGTTGTTGTTGTTGTTGTTGTGTTGTTGTTGTTGTTGCTGCTGCTGCTGCTGCTGCTGCTGCTGCTGCTGATGAAGTTGGTGCTGCTGCTGCTGCTTCTGCTGCACGTAGGCCGCCTGCATGTGCTGCATCCGGAGCTGGGCCAGGTTGATCTGTGTTTGCGGGTGTTTGCCGTGGTGACCATGGCCCGGGGAAATTGGCGGTCCCCCTACCATCACACCGGGCGGCTGCACGGATTGGGCTTGCTTCTCGATTACCAAATTACCTACAATAAGGAGAAGAGGGATAACAGTAAGAATTATTTTAAAAAGGTGCACATGCCCAAGACCGGTGTGAAATATTCCTTTACTTAATTACTTATACAGGAGTATAAGGTAAAAATAAGAAGGATGCAAGACCAGAAAATATTGTATGAGAGACATTCCAATGACAAATTATCTTTCCTGTGATACAAATGTGATAATGAAAATAATATGCATCACTCACCAAGATTCACCACATTTTTGGCCCAAAAGGTGGGGTCACAGAAGAAGCGCACAACTCCATTTGCCTGTGGCACTGGCTCCAGTCGAGCCTTGTATTGCTGGCGAAGCTGGTAGAGCATCTACATACACAAAGACACACACAGAAAACACACAAAGAATAAGGGTTTGGGTTACTGAGCTTGGCAGTATTGTAGCAACAAGCAACATTTGTCAAGATGCTCTCTGGAAGCAGTTCTCCAAATTAAAGTTATCTCAACATTCAATTTGCTCACTGTCTTGTGGTAATGGGTCAAATCCATGTGGCAGTAGCCTCCATTGAATGGTATGGTATAGTATACTCCAGACAAAATTGCATGCTCTTAAGACTGCTTTTGAAAACAGATATGAAGTACATATAGGACAACAGCAGTATACCAGCTACAACCGTGCCTAATGTTTTATTGCTTTTAAAGCCTGAAATTATGAGGCTAGGCTACAAATTACATAAGAAGCAGACACAACTCAAATGTCCAATTTAACTAGAATTCACCTCAACTAGTATAATTATTCTCATGTACAGCATGAGCACAGCACAGTCATGTTGGGAGCACACTGTCAGCGTTAGCCTCTCAACCTGCTGAACGTTAGAAAAATATCACTCGTCACGGGCTTGAGCTTAAATATCAGGGCCTTTGTTATAATGTGCTACTCTGATATTGGAAGATTACATTCAGTATTTTCCCAACAGAAACATACCAGCCTCTTGCTGTAGAGCAGCGCCGTGCTGCTGCCAGTGCTGATGGCCCATTGGCAGAAGCTGAGCACATGGTGGATCTGTTGGGCCAGCTGCGTGGTGTCCTTTTGCTGAGACACGAGCCTCATATTGCGCTCTTTGGTGACACTCTAGACAGAGGGACAGGAGAGGGAGATCATTTTGGTTAGGGATCTGCTACTGAAAGAGCCTGAACACCCAAGATAGATGAATGTTGGAAGCCATTAAAAAGAAGTTAGCATATGCATATAGAGGGATAAGACAATTCCATTTTATTAGACTAAAATGGAATCATCCCTGTGGGGATATTGGTTTATAACAGCAGTGGATAGTAGTATGCAGCAAATGGGGAAGTAGTCACGTACACAACATATAAGAAACCAGATTCAATGATCAAACTGAGTTAAGATCGAAGAGGGGAACAAGTCATATCAAATCTGTTAAAGAGAAGTAAGCCTGAGCTAGAGGTCTCTATGTCTAATCTAAATAAATATCTGACATATTTACCTTAACAGAAGGCATATAAATATCAAGATATTTTCAACATATATAATAAATAAAAACTTGAGAATAAGGATGGGTACCGTATGAAACGGGCCCCGGGGCTGAATTATTAAAGACCGTGGTACCGTTAAGCTCCGACGTTATTGGTCTTTTTATCGGTACTGGAGACATCTAAAACACGTCATACATATTATTGCTACTACACAAACATTATATTGGCAGTATTAGTGTCGCCAACTCTGTTTCTAATATGCAAATAGACTGCAAAATGCATCTATGATTATTGTATTTCATCATATGTCTGGATAGATTCCTGTAAGCCAGATTCAAGACATAAAGAAGCTTTTTTAATACTTTTTTTCCCTTCTATATGGGGTGTAGTTTTACTAAGATTAGGACTCTTATAGATTACAAACACTACTGTTTAGAAAATAAAATACAAATCATTAGGTCTACTTTTCTTTCTAAAATGTTTCTAAAATACCTTATGCAACTCTAACCAAAAATTAAGTAATAAAACCAGCTCACATCCAACTGTTGCAGCAAGGACTTTCCCTTCTTGTTGATCTCGTTTATAAGAGTAAATACTGCGATTTTGATCTCGTGCTCCACCTTCTTCTGCGTTTCACCCGCCTCCTTTAACCTTGAAAAAAAAAAAGCATGTGTTAGCCCATTGCAATGGGTATTGACATGTAGTAATGATGTCAACGGGCAGCACTGGATAGGAAACTGGTGATGAAAAACACGCACCTGTTTTGCACCTGGGAGACCGAATAATGCACGTAACTCTTCTTTTCCTGTAGTTTGGCCATGCTGGACTCGATCAAGCATTTCTGGTTCTGAAAAGCCTCCTCGAGGAACTGGTACCTGAGGGTAGAAGGTATTAGTCGACTTCTAGTTGCCAACACCTTTCCATGAACTCAATAGCCGCTTTCACACCAAGTACTTTGCCGTAGTGCTCAGTACTTAGTGCCCAGCACTTAGTACCCCCATGGAGCTAAGTACAGATCTCGTTCACACTGGAATAAGTTCCCTGAGGGAAGATTACGCAAATGAAGCCGCTGACGTCAACTTTTTCCTCTTCTGCTTTGGGTTTACTGGCAGGCTGCAAACCACTTCACGGCGTATACTGCCACCCAAAGTCCCCGGCCGGAAGTCCCCGGAGTTGGGGACTGGCTTCAGTAGAAGCTGCTGGGACTCCCAGCAGCTTCTACTGAAGCCTTCAGAGTAAATCGTCAGAACGCCGACTCCTCCTCATCACTCCCAAGTTTTTTTTTGTGTTGCCATAAGTTATTCTCTCTCCGTTGGTGCGCGGGGCTAATGCTAATAATGCTAATGCCAGCAAATACAATGGCGGCTTCACAAAACTTTTCTGAGTTTTAGGGGCGTGGTTTGCAATTCGCCCAGCCAATCGAAATTGGTACTTTTTTCTCCCCAGGCTAGTACCACCTCTCTAGCAGGCACTAAAAATGGGGTGCCGTTGTACGTCATTACACCGAACACGTAAAGACACAGGCTAAGTTTGTTTGCCCTGTTCTGCTTGCAAACTGTTAAAACAAACGCTTCAACTTGTACAATTTGGAAGATGTATTTTTGAATATCGATCTTGAGTTGGCGCGATGTTGAAGTCGTGCGACCCTGCTGTACTCGGCTGTAGTTAGTTTATAGCATAACGTTAGCATTTGGCTTCTGGCGATTCGATTTATGATTCGAAAATTTAAAAAAGTAGGGTAGACATGTTGATATTATCCGGCTGAACAAAACGTGCATTTATCAAACGGGTTCGTTTTCCGCAGACCTTATTTCGAGCTATTTTCCAAAATCCTATGGAGAAATCCCTGAGACTGCCAAGGCACACAACCCATGCGCAGCTTACTTCCGGGTAAATACGTCATCCCTGCACCACTCTATTAGCCCAAAAATACCATATCATACCAAAGCAGAGTGGCAGTCGCTCAGCAGGGCATTGTTTGGATGAAAAATATTAGGTTACCTGTGCTCTTTGTGCTCCAGCAGCTGGCAGTCCCGACAGGTCAACGTGTCACAGGTCTCACAGAAAAGCTTCAGGGGCTCCTGCTTGTGGATGGGACAGAAAACAGGCCTCTGCCCTGCACCAACAGACTCTATAGAGACACAGGAGACGCCATTGATGCTAACTTACAGAGACCGGAATGAGTGATAAAAACCTGTAAAGGAGTTAGCATTTTACCACTTCTGGTTCCTTCTTTCTCAACTGTTATCCTGAACTTTTGTTTGCCCAAGATTTAATTATCCTGCAAAATTCCAAAATCCAATTGCCTTTTGTCACATCAGTCAAAATATGTCAACACTGCAACACTCTACAAAGAGGATATTTAATGAAAGTAACCAGAGAAAAAACAAAAGACAGAAATAAATGATAGCTTAGGTTTTCAAACACAGAGAGAAAGCTTTAGAAGTCTCTGGTCAGAGCTTCACGGAGTATAGCCCGCCCCCCGAGCTGAAGGTACCATCCAAGCAACCAGAGTCTGCAGCACCGTTACTATGGCAACAGCCTTTCTGCAGCACCATATTCACTGTGTTTCTACTAGGCAAAGTCTTATTTGGGCTTTGGCAGTTTAAGCTCCATCGAACATACGTCGGCCCCTTCAGGTTCGGCCTTCTTACCGGAAGCAGCGTCAGCGTCCTCCTTGGTGTGGATTTTGTGGTCCTTGGTAATTTTAACCCTCTGGTGAGCTTCCACGCAGGTCTTACACAGCCATTCCCCGCACTCCACGCAAAAGCCTATGGTTCCTGCATTGTCCTCACAGCTTGTGCACACCTTGAGAAGATCACACCACAAAGCATATTTGAGAACCATTTCCAGAATCACTATAGTGCTAGATGATTTCGATCATACAAATGTGTAATAACTTCCCTGCCTGAAACGTCTCCATTGGACGCCTTTAGTTAGTCCCATAACATAATGAAATAATTATTTAACAATCACACTTCTATAGGCTAAGGTGGAGGGACATCTTTAAGCGGTTGATCAATCATAACAGTGCCAGCCAGCTAACCAATCAGAGCAGACTGGACTCTCCTTTCAGAGGGAGAGTGAAAGAGATGCTGCAGCACATTTTTGACCATTAAAGCATGTCAACATTTCACAGAAGAAGCGAGAAATGTTAATGTTCTAGTGTATTAATTTAAGTTTTCCGCACACTCGCGGGAATATGGAGCGAGCTTAAGTTTAACTTTCGATTGCATGATATAGCCCAGCGCAACCCCTTCGTCAAACATATTGCCACTTGTTTGTACCATTTTCAGGCGATTTGTATTCTGTTCTAGAAAAACAATGTGTTTTTTAGGATTTCAAGAAGCATATAGAACAAACAAGGGATGTATTTTATGAACATTTATCCATGCTGGAAGTAGATTTAGATGGTTTAGGAGTTGTGATATATTTATTTTAATGTCACCTTATATATATTCGTGTGTGTTAAATTTGAAGGGACAAAGTACATTTTTCCTCTTTTATATATAGCGCAATAGTCTTTTCTTCCACTTTTATGTGTAATCAAAAGGGTGGTTTTTTGGCTATCTGTGGTTAGACATAATACAAATGACCTTTGACATCTGCTTTGCAGTTCCCAGAATATCAGGAGAGTGTTAGGGTCTCTCTGTTAATCATCCACGGTTTTTGCAATTAACAGGGGAATTCCCAGATACATTTTCAGATATAAGGCAGTTAAAGTCTTGTAGTTAATGATGCACATCCTGCAGGCCTTGAGACTTGGGTCACCCAGCAGTAAACGAGATAAAGGTCCTTTTGAGCTTATCAATAACATGTATTAATTCCTAGTAAGTTGACTTCAAGGTGAAAGGAAGTTTACAGAAGCCATTAAGCGACAAGAACAATTAACTTCTGTTAATTGGACCACTATTGCGGTAAGCATGTTGTAACTTCCGGTTGTTGTTGTCATCTCCGGGTATCCCGTGTGCCTGTTCTGTTGCTGATAGCTTATTATCTTAACTTAATCGATCGTTTTAAAACTCTTGATCACGGCAACTGCCTGACGTTGTAATCACACGTTACTACAGCTTAAGCACTCACAACTCTCCTTCTCTTAGCGACTGTAACTCCACAGTTGCCTACACTCTTTTCGGGTTTGCTAACGGTAGCTACTTTAGCTTGATAGCTAGCCATGGCTCTTTCCCCACCCTCGGGTGCTATTTCCTGCTCTAACTGTCTCATGTTTGGTTACTTCCCTACCTCCTTTACTGGTACCGATACATGTGTTAAATGTAGTATAGTTGTTAGGTTGGAGGCGGGAATCATAGCCATAGAAGCCCGGCTCCGCATCTTAGAAAATAACTCAGCTACAGTAAAGCCCATGTTAGCCGTTGCGGACCGGCAAAAGGTAGCTCCTCTTAGCCGTCCCCCGGCAACTCCCGAGCAGAAGGGGCGATTGGGTGACTGTGCAGAAGGGGCATAACGCGAAACCCGCAGGTCCCCACCAACCCGTTCATGTATCTAACAGATATTCCCCACTCAGCGAGACACCCGCTGAGAAGCCAACTCTGGTTATTGGTAGCTCTATTATGAGACACGTGAATCTAGAGACCGAAGC